ATGATGTAGCCAATCACCACCATACTAATAAACCTAAAAAGGATTACATTAGGCTAGTGTCAAACCACACCACTACATACACATGACACTCCTATGATCTCAAGTCTTAGGATTACTTGCACCATCATTTGTAAGAGGATTTGTTCCATAGACATTGGGTGTACCATCTGCATGGAATCCTTTGGTAGGTTAGTCTAGTGAACTTGCATCCAACAAGCACCTATGCATTACACCAGGTTGTTGATAATCCAAGGATTATATTGTTTGGTTGAGGCTTTTTGGCCGGATTTTGGATACTTCTTATGTCGTTTTTGCCTGAATTGCAACATAATTTCATATGTTTTATGTTTCAGACCAAAACGTGCACTTTGAGCAAATAAAGAGAGGAATTGAGTTTCTGGACCCGGAAGCAAGCGAACTCAGGATTTGGGGAAATTCTGACGCAGATTTGAAGCACTATGAAGCTTGGTCCTATTGGAGATAACCAAAGATTGAAGATTCACGTAAGGAAGCAAGCAGAGGGCAATTTCGTAATTTCAAGAATGGCTCAGAACATTTAGCCGCAGCGATAATCTCTCGGGAATTTGTTGCCGCGGTGAAGTTTATTCTTCACTGCGGCGAAGTCTGCAAAGTCCAGTTTTTATTAAAACGTACAGTATTGTTTTAGGTGTAAGTTTTAGGTTTTTGGACCAACTATATAAAGAAAACTTAATCTTTTTATTGAGAGTTCGACATTTTGGGAGAAAAGAGAGAAGATTTGAGGTGGATTTGAGATTGAACTCTTTGGGATTCATCAAATAGGGAAGATTTTTGTTCTCTTTCTTTATTCCAACATGTTAAATGCTATGTTTACTGTTTTTAATTCGATTTCTTTTAATTTCATTATGAACTAACTCACTTTGGGCTAGGGTTATGGTTAATCAATAGATTATTGTTGCTTTTACATTCTATTGCATGGATTATGTGATTATTCTTGTTTTTATTGAATTTATTTGTTGAACATGATGAGACTGAGAAATGAATCATGTATGAGCTTCTTAGGGTAATCACCATTGTTGTATTGAACGCTAGAGATAGGTTTGAGAATCAATGAAATCAATTCAGGATTCCATTAGCTTAATGAACTTGAATCTATTAATCTTCAAATTGTTGGGTGCGGAAGCTTAATAAGGAAAGTAGGAAAACATAGCCTGAGAAGGTATGTTTTACACATTAGGAAGTTCGATTTATAATCCGTGCAAGTGAGTGTAGAGGTAGCATAGTTCTTATATTAATTCATAGAATCCTAGTGAAGTCAAAACCCTAACCGTTTGCTTTAATTGATATTTTCTCTCGAATTAGTTTTACTATCATTAATTAGCCTTTTAAGGACGTAGTAAATTTTGTTTTCATTTTAGCTTTAATTCTCCCACCAATCCAAACAATTTTCGTTCTCTCCAACTTGTCAACAATTAGGAAAATCAGTGCTTAACAACAATCCTTGTGGGAACAATACTTTACTTATCATTTTATTACTTTTTGTTACTAGTGTACTTGCTATACATTGCATGTTGTAGTTACAACGCATTAGTTGTCACCCAAAAACCTTCACATGTGAAACATGTCACTACCTTTCAGTATGGTCATTCAACTCTATGATATCCTTACTGTATTATTTGTGCTCCTAGGTCAGAATAATATTGAGGCTATTAATGTTTCTAGAATGGCCATCATATGTGCTCATAGGGATCTCACAATCAAGACTTAAAATGTTTGATTACCCGTCACGGTTTTACCATCCTAAGGATATATATTATAATATACACGAGATATTAATTACATAATATAATTAATGCCTTTATTAATTTATAAACATGATATAGTAAATTACAATACATTGATTGGCTCTATGACACATACTCTAACAGTAATTTGACAGGATTCCGCCGCTAGATCTATAAGATTTCACCCAAAGATTAATAGCAAAGTGTTTATGAATGATTGCCTCTAAGCTAGACTTATACACACAATAAAGTTTTAAGGTACTCTCTAAGGATATTCAAGAATGAGTACAAATGAGAGTTATGATTTGGATTTTTTAGCTCAAGGTATTATTTGAGAATGTTCTTGATGTATTGTCACTTCTATCTCTCTTGTCTCTTCTTCTCTGAGCAATAAATCGTTGAATTTATATCTCACTAAACCTTTTGAAAAAAAATATAGCTGTTATTGCATTTAATGCACTCCTACAAGGCTGCAGAAGTTAGAGGAATAGACATTCCACCATCACGAACGGTCGTTCTTAACACCAACATACACTTTTTCTTTGACTTTGAGGTCTTGGAATTGTCATTCTCTTTATTAACAATGGCATTTCCCTATCATGAACGGGCGTTCCACCATTGTGAACAGTCGTTCAACTTTGATTCTTCAAAGTCCAGAATTTCCAGAAGCATGAACGACTTCATGGAACAATGTCGTTCCTTTAAGGAACGATCATCAATAAGTTTTGGGACAAGCGTTCGTCATGGTTGTTCGAGTCTGACACTTGTATTCCAAAACTTGATTTGAGCTCACAACTTCTAACCTTAAATTTTGACTTTGACTAAAATGGGTATTCCACCACGTGGAATGGGCATTTATTCTCTGATCACAAACTTGAGTCAAAATTCTAGAAGCGTGAACAATGATTGGAATGGTGTCATTTATTATGGAATGGGCTTGATGGATAGTCGTTCATTCTGGTCGTTCTTTCTCTAGATTTGTGCTTTAGCCTTTTGCTTGAGTCTTCATATATGCTTGGAACGAGTGTGCGATTTGGTCGTTCAGTTTGGAACGACTTGAACATCTTTAGCACAAATTTGGCAGAGCCATGAACGAGCATGAGGAACAATGTCATTCCATTTTGAATGGCTTTTGGAAATGCTATTAGGGGAGGAACATGCATTCTACTGGATCGAACATGCGTTCTATTGAATTGAACGGGCATTCCTTTTAGAAGAAATCTGCATTTTTGTCTGGGTTATGACATAAGTCATATCTTTGCATTTTTGTTAGAGTCCAACCAGTTTTTTTATTAGTTTTGGCACATCAAAACACATGAGGGCTCAACAAGTTTTATTCCTTAGTCTAATTAACCTAAATTCAATTTCCTCCACCGCTCTAACAACCTTGCGAAGTATAAATTTTATCATATGAAACTAAAGCTTTGCTGCTTTCGTCATTACCATTTGCTTCTTCCTTGGTAATACTATCCTCAACAACTATGTTGTTACCAATATCTCCCAAGTCTTCCTCAAGTGCATCATCATTATCCTTATCACCATCCTCATCAATTTTAGGCATTTCCTCAAACCAATCCCATTCTTCATGATCCCATCTACCATCAAATACCTCGTCATCAAAATGGTTTTCTCACCAATTGGTGTAGGGTTTATTTGAGGGGGTGTTTCTAATTTGTTATTTTTAGGAGTGCCTTGCTTATATTCATGAGTGATATTTGGGTGGTCGTTTTATGCCCTATTTGTTTTTAGGGTGTTTTGGAGGTTCTCTTGTTAGATAAGATTTTCAGGTTGATTCTCAAATGGATCATTCATGTCAATTTGGTGGTCANCAAATGGCAGCACTTCTCTGCATCCGTTCCTTCTTGTTATAGAAGCCATATCAAACCACTGACTCACACGTGTCACTGGATTTCGCCTGTAATCTTTGATGTGTTTAAATATTTCGTATTAAATACACTCTTGGGTTCTTTTTATATATTTTTAAGATTTTTTTTTTTTTTTAGTGTTTTACTACATTTATAGAAGCTTTTGGTAATTTCAATTTTAGAGATACTTAGGCTCCGTTTGACTCATTATTGGGTAGTTTTTAGAGTAATATTTTGAAAAAAGTTATATTAGGTAGGTATTACGATGTAAAATTTTAAAAATTAACAAAAATACCCCTATGTTTATTTATTTACTAAACACCCCTATAATAAAATATTCAAAGTTAACAAAAACACCCCCAACCTACTCATTAAATACGGACAGCCGGCCACGACCGCCGGAGGGTGGCCAGAGTAGCTGTATCGATGCATAACCGGCTGGATCTTGCCAGTCATGCGTCGATATGACCTTTTTCGGTCAGGTCCACCGTGGATCTGGCCGGAAAATGCTAGATCTACGACTAGATCTAGTCATTGACAACCAGATCTGGCCGCATTTGGTCGTCAACAACGGCCAAAGATACGGCTATTGTTGATGGTCAACGACAACCCTATCTTGGTCGTCGTTGACGACTGTCAACGGCCGTAGATCTGGCCATTGACAGCGTGGATCTGACCGAAAAAAGTCATATCTACAGCTAGATCTGATCATTGACAGCCAGATCTGGCCGCATTTAGTCGTCAACGATGGCCAAAGATACGGCCGTTGTTGATGGTCAACGACAACCCTATCTTGGTCGTCGTTGATGACTATCAACGGCCGTAGATAGAGGTGGAAAAGCAACCCGCCCGACCCGACCTGACCCAACCCGCGGCGGGTTACTGTTAATGGCGGGTCGGTCCTGACCCGTCCAATGACGGCCCGCCAATATTAGGGAATTGGCTGGCCCAACCTGAACCGCCAACCCTAACCCGCCGGGTTAGGCGTGGGTTAGGCCGCGGGTTGGGCCGAGTTAACCCGCTTTTTGATTTTTTTTTTTTTTATTTTGTTTTGTTTTATTTTGTTTAAGTTTAAATTTTAATTAACTTTTCAAATGAATAATTAACAATTTATAAATGTAATTGTTTTTAGTTAATTGTTAATTTCTTTTCAAATGAATAATTAACAATTTATAAATGAATAAATGTAATTGTTTTTAGTTAATTGTTAATTTCTTTTCAAATATCAATAATTAAATTAAATTAATTTTTTTTTTGTTAACATTCCAAATATTAATTTAATTTTAATACATTAAAATTGTAATATAAGAATAATTAAATTTATTCATTTATTAAAAAATAAAATAAGAAATTACAATAATTATTNGGAAAACCAGGAGCAGAGCTTCATTTAAGAGTGAAACTGGATCCTGATCCAAGATATGTCTTCCAGTTTGAAGATGTGACAATGTTGAGCCCTCAGATAGTCCAGCTTCAAGGTTCCATCAAGCAACCAATTTTTAGTTGCAAGTTTAGTCGAGACAGGTGATGTGTCTTTTTTGTACCCAAAATTTTATTCTTGAAAAAGCTCCAAACTAGCTCCCTCCTCTAAATATTATTAAACTTTCTTGTTCGCATGTCAAAAATAAGAATAGTAAAAGAGAAGTCCTAGAATTTTATGAGAAGCACTATTAAAAATAAAAATGAAAGTATATTATTGAATATAAAATAATTTATTTTTTTTAAGTTCTTCAAATATTCAGCCAGCTCTAAGTTTCTTTTTTTTTGGTTTGAAGAATAAATAGTATTAAGAATCATTTGATTGTCAGATTTTAACGGTATTCAATCCTTTCAAGATCTTTGAAAGTATATTTTCCTTTGACTGAGTATATGTGTTAGAAGTGGTTTTGGAATATTTCTTGATAAATATTTTTTGTTGGTCATGGAACTTAAATAGAATGACCTGCTATTTTTCCAGGCATTAGTTCCTTGTTAATGAAACTTTTGGTAGTTGCAATGAATGGCAGGGTGCCACAGGTGGACCCGTTGAGCATTTACTGGTCAGGTTCTGCTGACAGTGCTGATATAGAGACTGAAAGAAGGGAAAGAAGGGGATGGAAGGTGAAGATACACGACCTCTCTGGCTCAGCTGTTGCGGCAGCATTCATAACAACTCCCTTTGTTCCATCAACAGGTTGTGATTGGGTTGCTAGGTCCAACCCAGGAGCTTGGTTGATTGTTCGCCCTGATTCATGCAGGCCTGAGAGCTGGCAGCCATGGGGAAAGCTTGAAGCGTGGCGTGAGCGTGGCATCAGAGACTCCATTTGCTGCCGATTTCATCTCCTTTCGGAAGTCCAGGAAGCTGGCGATGTTCTCATGTCTGAGATATTTTTAAGTGCCGAGAAGGGTGGAGAGTTTTTTATCGACACTGACAAACAGATGCGGACAGCTGCTACTCCAATTCCAAGTCCGCAAAGCAGTGGAGATTTTTCTGGATTGGGTCCAGTTGTTGGTGGGTTTGTGATGAGCTGTAGAGTGCAAGGAGAAGGTAAGAGCAGCAAGCCAACGGTACAACTAGCGATGCGACATGTGACATGTGTGGAGGATGCTGCCATCTTTATGGCACTTGCAGCAGCAGTTGATCTCAGCATTGAAGCATGCAGGCCTTTCCGGAGAAAGGTGAGGAGACGGTCTCACCATTCCTTATGAAAGTAGGAAATGAAATGTTTAATTTCCATGAACAACGAATGGCTCTATTTTATCCTAAATGATGATTGTTGTAACATTTGGCATTGTGTACAGGATTTTTTTTCTTTTCTGATTCTGGATGGATTATCTCTCTTCTTCCCAAATTTGGTCGACTCATTAATGATATCAGTACAGTTAATTGACACAAAAACTTCCATACATGATAGATTTCTTCAATTAGAGTTTCACTCAACAGTCCAATTCAGCCTTCATCTGAGCTTGTTTTCTTCAAATAGTAGATAAAATTTGTAGAAACAGACAAATCCAAGAGAATTTTAAATTTATAATCTTACTAAATACTCATTTCCTGAATTCCCAAGTATTTCCTTGAGATAAAATGTGTAGGCGTCTCTAAATTCTAAAAAGAACTGACTTTACAAAAGTTGGCATTCTAAATTCAAAATACAGAATACTGTAATAGATTTTCCCGACATTCTTTAGATGCTCAGAAACATAGCCTCTTATATACATTTGTTATCCTCATCAAATGGTACCAGATTTTGGTTTCCAACTGAACAAATAGTTCTAACAAGGAAAGAAGAAAAGTGCAAATTTCAATTAGAAACAATAGACAGGTGGTACAAAAACAAAACTAAGTTCACGCAAATATTTTGGTAACAGAATGAAACCACTTTCTTAATACAGAAAAGCCATCACTCTTAAGTCCACACTGATTGTGATAGGGATTGGAGATCAAAAACAACACACATCAATAACAACAGTTTATATGAGCTTGAAAACTATGCATCTGTTGTTACGAACAACTGTTCCACATCTGCTATTGTGCTTTGAGCATCATCAATTTCTCCACCTTCCTGGTTCACTTCCTCCAACTCGGCCTGAAAAAAAAAAAAAAAAAAAAAAAATTAATTTCAATAATGAAGAACATGGTATTTTACTGTACCACTTTTTCCGTTTCTTTTTAAAAATTGATATTGTCAACACAAAATTAAAAGGAAATGTATCACGCTTGCAAAACATTTTTTGAGCAAGATTAAATATATAAAAGGGCATCCTATACTATAATCATCATTAAGAAGAGTCCAACTATTTTAACAATCCAATACAAACTTGCTATTCATGTACGAAATACCATAGTTTTAAACTAATTTGAATTTCACACTTTTAATTGCCTCTCGCATCACCTTGAAATATAGTCAACACCCAGATGTATGTCTGTGGATTTAATAGGATGCTCAAGAGAAATTACACTAAGATTAAATTATGCTAAAAGTCCTAAAGAATTGCAACTTGAGCTATTAACTTATTTATTCCATCTTAAAGTATATCAATAAACTACCCCCCTCATCCACATGAAAAAGCGTGACACAAACTGTGGCTTAACTTCACAACATTTTCACTATTAGTATAAATTCTATAATTTCCAATCAAAAACAACTTTAAGTGACTTAATTTTACAAGAAAAAGATTTTCTCTTTTAGTTCACATTTCTAGGTTAAGCCCACATCTGTAGTTGCCACTCATTCCTTCTAATGCTGCATCTCTCTATATAAGAATCTATGCCTAGAAAGAACAGTAAGCCTCTAACACATATTTTTCCGGGAAAAATTAGCCTCAATCACACAGAGTTAAGTAGGTCATTTATCCCCACTAAAGGAAAAGAGTTGTGCAGGTTTGTAAAGTTAGATGTTACAACAATCTCAATGGAAATCTCTAACTTTGAGCAAAATACGGGTAACATTAAAGGATTGATGAAATACCAGAGTAGCTTTGAGATCAGCTAAAGCAGCCTCAAGGCGCTTACGACAATCGGGTATCATCATCCTTGATTCAGCAAGAACATTTTCTTGTTGCTTGAGGTCATAAGGGTCTGCTCCTTTCTCCTTCATATCTGCAGTTTTAGCAGCTTCTCTCTCAACCTCTTTCTCATACGAATGAAGTTCCTTCACAATGCGCTTACATGTACTTGTCTTGATTTTTAGGTTTCTTGTTGTTGCCATTCTAACCTACATGTATTTCAGAATAAAATTACTCACTTCTTTTCTTTTCCTTTTTTTTTTTTTTTTTTTAAAATAATAGTTAAAGCAAAATTTAAACATATTCCAAACAAACACCTAGAAAAAAAATAAGACATGAGACCAAAGTAACTCTTAGTGCTAACCGACCTAATATTTT